CTCAGACTGAAGAAGTCTCTTGGAGGAGAGACGAAACGTTTCATTAGAGAGGAACCCGTCCAGAAGACCTACATAATTTTTTTTTGAGTCACATATTTACAAAGTTGAATCGATCCAACTTGGAAATCTTTCTTCTTCTCATACAGTCTCTCTTGACAGTCTGATTTTTAAGCCTCTACTAAACATTTTAGAACATCTGTTTCATGCTAATCAATGAAGTGTTTCTCTCAGTGAAATTACTTGTAAAGCCATTGTCTGTATCTCAATCGCCACTGCATCGTTCAGCCTCGATGTTAATTTGAAAGGAAAAGGAGAAGCCTCTGAAGACAAGAGATTCACAGCTTATTAGCAAGATGAAAGTCAAGGAAGGAGAGAGGAGAATGCTCTAATCCAGATCGTTTTGTACCGTCTGTCTGTTTTTATTSTAAATGAGACATTAGGGAATACATAAGATTGGATTCTTTCAATTCACCCTTATTGTCTGTTTTATACTTGTTTGAATCCCTTAAGTATTTAGAAAAGTGCTGAAACTCACAAGGAAGAAAAAATAAATAAAACATACAGAGAATAACAAGCACTTAAAACAAACAAACAATTGAAGAAAAAATTATGCCATTCCCAGTTGAACCAATTTTAAAGTTATTTTTATCTCCCATGGTATTCTACTTTACTAAAACTGGATATGCACTAAACAGAGTTKTGTAATAATCGTCTTTTTTGCAATAGGGACCTAAAGCCATCACTCAAGTCGAACCCTCACATTGTATCAAAGCATTACCATTGCAGTACAAATGTACTACCATTGTTCATGTATTTTTAAATTTATTTACCCCACAAATATTATTCCTAAATACCAACCCTTATTCAACTTTAAACTAAATATATTTTGCTACAATTTGGACTCCGCAGTCCCATGTCTACAATTTTTGGACAGTTTATTTACTCTGGCTTGCAAATAGTCTTTTAACAGCCCTTTTTCCAAATCTAGACCTGAGGGTGAGGACAGAAATAAAATAAAGCATCAACAAACTCTTCAWAGAGGTGTTTCCTTTAATTAATATCCCTGGTTTGGATCTGCCTAATCTGTCTTTACTAAACAGTTATGTACCACAGGGTTTTAAATCAACATTCTTGAGAAAATAGTTGTAAAACAATTATGCAAACACCTGGTTGCTAMATCTAACCACTGGAATTTTCATCCAGTCTTCATGGCAAAACTGATTCAGCTCTGTCAAGATGGATGTCAAATTACAAACAGTTCTCTAGTTTTTTTTTTTCCTGTAAGCAATGGCTGTTTTTTTGATCACTTGTTACTGAAAGCCATAGTTCTGTGCATTATCTAATGTTCCTAGAGAATGGACAGACACTCCATTTTCTGAAAAGTCAGGGTTATCTTTGGGTTCTTGGTTGCGTCTATGGTC